AGTTAGAGGGGGCTAAAATTTCTCTAATACGAGTGACACATATTTCTTTTATGTTTGGAAATTGTAACATGCATGCTGCTTCAAGTACTAATAAAATGTCTTCTTCATTTATAACAAAACTGCTATCCCATAACAGCGTAAGAATGATTTTAAGAGACCTTGAGTCCACTTCCTGCAAAGGTTTAGTTAACAAAAGGATCTAGTTAGATTCGTCTATAATTTACCTGAAGTGTAATTAGTCGTTGGTTCTTTTCAACAAAATTTCCTTCAAACATAACTTTAAAGTAATCACTGTGTTTGGCAAGTTCTTTTTTATTACACACAAATGAGACATTTTCTGCAATAAGAACAATTTCTTCTGAAGTACTTTTTGAATCGCCCATTTTTATAGAATTCTTTATTTATTCATATTTTTTATAATTTTCACAGATTAATGTTGATTTAATTTGTTAGTGTCAAAGTTACAAAAAATTTTACAAGAAATTTAGAAAATTAATAAATTGTTACTAAAACTGCCAAAAATTGTAGGTTATATATGTTGCGTATGAAGTAAGAAGGAAATGTCAAACAAGAAATAAAAATTGCCAACATTTAAATTTTTTACGAAAGTTCAATATCGTTGATGCAATATTAAAGTAGGAACGTTATAATAACTACAACTTGAACATTAACAATGTACTTTAGCAAAGTTTAGGAAACATTTTCTGTATTATTAAATAATAACAAATAATAGATATTTTAAAAGTGTATTAATACATTTTAGATTGGCGATACTTCTTGTCAATTTCAAATTTAAGAATCTGTAAATAACTGCCATTGCAATAAGGCACTATTTATATTATTGTTTGCTGTTTATTACTTTTTTGAAGTAAATATGAATGTTAGCTCTATTAATAATATCCTTAGTGAAATACAAGAATGTGTAAAAAAAGAAAATCTATCTTTAAAATGTACAAAAGAATGGATGAAGGTAAATAATATTAATTTACTACATGCTAATTAACCACTGATTTGTTAAATTAAAATTGTTACTGTAGGAAATATGCAATTTAGAGAAAGATCTAATAATTTGTTTTGAAAGATATCTACGAGAAAACATACCAGATAAAGAAATAAAAACGTGTATTTTGTTGTATTTGATACAACAACACTCGATTTTGAGTTTATATGTTAATATATTCAGGGAGGAAACTAAAGAAGGATTAATACTGGAAGTAAGGTTTACTGTTTTTGATATTATGAGTTAAGTAATATTTTATTACTTCAGGATGCCAGAAATTGTTGTAAAGAATGTTTTCAATACTGTCTGTTGAAATTAAAAGATATCATGCAAGGAAAATCCATTTGTGAAGATTCTTCTGGGAGTTTTATAAAATGGATGGATTTATGTTTAAATAAATTGTCACAACTAGATATTAGTTCAGAGAATGTGAAAGAAATGTTTCAAAAATGTTATAAAATCGTTGAGGAAGTATTATGTCATGCTATGTCACTTGCTCAAATTGCTATTGATGAAGATTCACGAATTATAAAAGGCAGTTCAAAGGCAGTAGGTTAATTTTGTAATTTTCTTAAATGGTCGTTAGGCATCACTACCATCAGTTTTTATCCTAAGTATTCTTCTATGCTCATACTGAACCTTTGTCTTCAAAGAATTATCACTTATTCTAATTACTTAGTTTGCTTCTTTGAAATATCTGTTGTTTATATTTCCCTTAACTGTTACTTGTCTTACTGATTTAATTTTTTTAGGTGCTTGATGTTTTGGGTGCTTTAAAAGTAGAAATTGATAAAAATCCTAAAAGTATTCCGGTCTGTAATTTGTTAATAGATTCCTGCAGTGATGAGTTATGTATTTTGGAAAGAAAAGTTAACACAGCAGTTCTTAGGCTTTGTTTAAAATTATTTTCGGACTTATCTGGTCCTTTAGATATCCTAGAAAGATATTGTTTGAATAGCTGCAATAAATTAGGTGATAATATAAATTTACTTGTAGAAAATTTCGATTTACACGTCGATAGAATTATTCAAGTAGGTTTGTTTGCGATTGGTTGTTCTTCCTACTCACAATGTAAGTTAAGTTTGTATATAGTAGTTTAAGGTCTATCAACCTGAATAATTATTTTTTAAAGATGTTATAAGATTGAAAGCTAACCTTGCCAGCCTCGAAGCTTTAGAAATCTCTTTAGTGCCTTCATTTTTATTGTTATTAAAGCAACCTTCATTGCAAAATGTTAAATGTGCAACATTGTTAAAGCAATATTGGATTAGTAACGTTAAAAGTTTAAAACAACTCATATATAACATAATTGAGCCATCTGCCTTTTGTCAGGTATTTATACATTTAAAATTTTTTAAATTATTTGCTATATTTTTTTTTTTTTGATAGGTTGTTTATAGGGAGGTGCATAATTACATATTAAGTTTAGATGAAGTTGTCAATGAGAAGCAACAGCCTTTACAAAATATATCGATACAACCTATAATTTTGCAAACTAAAGTCCTTGGAGAAATGATAAAAGTATCATTGGATCATGCCGATATAAAACCAAATTTATTCGTCAAATATGAAAGATTTAAAGCAGGTAGAACAATACGCTGGATAAAAAGTACATATGAAGTCAGGCTTTTACATTTTTTATGTAGTTAGATAGGAATGGGAAGAATTCACTCAACTCTTAATTTCAATCAATTAACTAATTTTAAATAAAAATATTATAATTGCTAAAAGTCATATTTTTAGCTAAATTTCTATTAATTTCCTATTTTTTAATTTGGTAATATTAGCGGATTTTAATTTTATTACTTATAGTTTTACGTGAAACGGACGCTGCCACAGAACAATTATTAGGGGCCAGTGTTGATAGTAACACCATTGAAAACAGTAAAAGGGTTTTGAAAAGATGTAAAGTTTTACTGCATTTAATTAAACAGATTTGGTATTGCTACATACATGACGAGGAAAAGGAAGATGAAAACGGCGCTAAGGGTATTTATTTGAATTATATAAAATTGTATTTGTGTACTAGATATCTAAAAATAGTAATTTTAGATATGCATGAATATGATTGCGTTAAACAATTACAGCAGAAAGTAACAGAGAATAACGATCTAATGTTGACGCAAATAATTGATAAAGGTAAACAATTATTGAATGAAAGGAGTGTTATGTATAGAACTCCGTTAAAAACGGAGAATAAAAACAAATGTTTAGCAGGTAAATCATGAGAATTTATGTCGATACAAAGGTGTAATAGATAAATTTGTAGTTTATAGTAGTAAAGTATCAACAAAAAGGAAAACACCAAGGAGCTGTTTACCATTTAGAAATGATATTTTAAATAATGAAGAATCTTTTGTGAATGGTATGAAATTTTTGAGTAAATTCCAACATTGTTATTACTAACAATAAAGTATCAAATTTTTAGATACGTTTACGCATTTAAAATCCAAGGCAGTAAAGCATTTAAGCAGTTCATAGGATTTATGTTCATATTTGGTTATAAGAAAACAGGATTTATTATAAAAATAAGTAAGTTTTATTATCATCATTATTCTTAATCAACTACATATTTACAAAACATAATTACATATATTGTAAGTGAAGTGTGCCTGTTTATTAAAAAACATCGCAGATTGCTTTATAATAGGCACCAAGAGATTCATTCTACCAATTGTAATACTTTGATTGTTAGGTTTCTGTAAAAAATCAACCAGTGGTACTGGATTTTTTCTCCTTAAATGGTGTCTAAGACTGACCAGCTTAAACTTAATTCTTGGACGAAAGCTTTCATAGCTTACTAAGTCGTGATCATCTAATCTGAAAATGTTTTCTTCTGTTTCATCAGTTTCTATGGGAAAGTTATTGAAAACTCCCCGTTTTCCATCTTTGTTGTCCTCGGGGAAAACATCATCGATTGTGTAATATCGTTTAGTTAAAGTGTCATTGGCATGTATACGTCTTCTGGCCTTTAATAATTGACTTTTGACCGCTAGCCATTTGATGTCAGCTTTTTTATAATCTAAAATTTGTTAATCAAAAAATGAAATGAATAATAATAATGAATTATATTCAATCTTTAAATAATTTTACTTTCATTTGGATTATTATCAAACCTCCAGTACACCATAAGACTTTCACCAAATGTTTCAAAGAAACGCTCGTCTATTTTTCTTGTATTTTCTTTCTCACAGCACAAAATGTTGTACGTTGCCTATTATTAAATTTTGAAAACATTAGTAATAAGATTTAAAGCAAAGAAAAGTACCAACTTACTAGAACCTCCTCTATTAACTGCTGTTCCTTATATTCCTCGATTCTTTTGAGAAAGTAGTCAATGCTGGGTAATAGCAGTTCCTTGATACCGTTAACTCCTAGCGAGTTTATTATATGTACTGTTTGAAATGGTAAATCAGACTTTATTTTATAAAATTTCTTTTTTATTTTACTTTTGACAAAATCGTGAAGGGGTATGCGGTTACATAGTATTGTTAAGACCCTGCACATGGGCTCCAAAACTTCTGCGGCGCTTTGCTGAAGTAATCTTTGCAAAATTAATCGTACCAACAGCTCTAACTGTAAACAGATAAATTATGTATCACACTTTTGTTTAACTAATAATGTTAATGTAGTGTATTCTCAAAACGTGAGTGAAATTCGGCGTTTTGATATTAATATTTTAAGTTTTAAAGTATTGAAATAATTTTCAATTTTTAAAGAATTGAAAATTTTTAATTCTATATTGAGCAGACTGTTTTTTCCAAACTGAAAATCGAGATTTTGTAATACTTACTCGAGCTTCAGATACTGACTGGGGAGCAATTGGATTAGCTTCAAGAGCTTCAATAAGTCTCAGGGCATACAACGTTAAACTATTGTATGTAATATCCTTGCTCAATAAGGAGTAACCAAATTGATAGAACCATTCACAGAAAGGACCTATTTTCGTATTTTCTCTTAAATCTTTTAAAGCCATTTCTCTAATATCTTTTCTGTTATCAATAACTGAGTTGCACAAAGTAACATAATAGTTTCTTTGGGCTTCTGTTGGTCCTGATGATTCATTAAGCCACCTGCTAATTGTAGTAATGTCTCCTGGTTGTACAGCAGTGCATTCTTCCTCTGCTATTTCAATAAGATTAATTTTAGTATCCTTGAAAAGACTTTTTAATTAGTAAATTATTGGCTTTACATAAGTACTTCACTTACATCTAAATATGTAATGTTGTTTTCTCCCAGAGTAAGCCAAATAGGGAGCGTAGGAGCTCCATAGACCTTTTCAACATTGAGACATTCAAATACATTATCAATATCATCAGAATTAATATAATTTCTTCCCGACAATGTGGCTTTAATTAATGCTTCCTAAATAACATATTTCAAACATTAGATAATTATAAAAAAAATATGCTAACTTACATGAATTATTTGTCTGACTTTATAGTTTAAATCTTCTGTGAAACCAGTGCAAATTTCATCAGATAAATGTTCAAAAGTTGCTTGTTCATTGTATGTGTGTAATGATTCCACACTCAATCCTGCATATTTACAATTGCTGGGATCCTAAAGTTAATTATTTGACTTTATAGATAGTAGCCAATTGGTTATAAAACAAATATAATAAATACCTTATTAGGAGAGCTGCATCCCGAATTTTGTGATGGTGATTCATTTAAATTTTGAGACTTTCTCTTTTCCCGTTCCTTGTTAGCTTTTTTGGTTTTGTTGCAAGCAGAGATAGGGGCTGACTTGATTGTTGTTGGTTTCATGACAATACTAAGTCGATTTCGTTTTCTTTCCTGATACTATATTCGTAGTTTGTTTGGTGATTAATTGAGTGTTAATGGTTGTGTAAAAGTGGTAAAATATGTGCTTAAACAGTTTGGACAGGATTTATTTTATTGCAAACAGGTTGCAGGTGGATGCAAATAAGTGGAAAGTGGTAAAAATGTGATGGTGAAATATAGTGGTTTATTTTGTGTTTACTTTATCACGTGCAAACAAAACTGAACTACATTTGCAAAGGTTTATTTTGATATTTTGCACTTTTTCGACTATTTTCAAATTTATTTTGACGTTTATCTAACTTACAAAGAGTCAATGGTGAAACTAACCTCATTTTTATTATGTTTTTATTTCACTGCAAAACATAACCTAGTTATAGTTAACACGAGTAAGACTGACACTGACAGAAGAAATAAAAACATACAAAAAGAGGTGATTAGGGTGGCTTAAGTCAACTTTTACAGTAGGTTAATGGCTTTTTCTCAACCGAACGCCCAAAGAGGTAATAATTATTCAGTTGCATGAAATGTACAGGTTATTAAGTGTGTTCATTTTAGAACTTACAAACCGTAAAATTCTGGAAGAGTTACAGCTGAAGAAGCAACTCTTACTTAAGCAGGGGGTTGCTTCGACATTAAACTCTTCAGCCTTGCCAGTTCTTGGTTCATCTAATATAGTAACAACCAATTCTGATGGTTTACCAAACAGTGTTGCTGCTAATATAAGTTCTACACAAAGGGCAGCTCTCCAACAAGCTAATTCCCAATCTATGGGATTCTTCATCACCCAAGATTCGTCATTTGGAAATTTAATACTTCCTGTGATCCCTAGATTTGAAGCCAAATAAATTATTTATAATGTTCCCCTGCATGAAACTGAAGCATTTGCAAGAGTTGTTGGAGGATGTGGAGGTGTTTGAAAAACCTAAAATACACCTTGAACAATATGTCACTCCCTCACATTTGTCATCTCATATGATGTATACTATTCAGGTAACATATTTTTGATACCAAAGGAGACATTACAAAAAAAGAATTATTTTGCATTCAGTCACAGTATGGAGATCTAAAAGATAAGTTGGTAGCAGATTTAGGTTCTGGCTGTGGATCTTTATCAGTGGGGGCATCTGTTTTGGGTGCAGGGATGGTTGTTGGTTTTGAAATAGATCAAGATGCTTTAGAAATCTTTCGAAGAAATATGGAAGATCAGGAGCTATTTAATGTGGACGTAATTAACATGGATGTATTTCATATTCCTTCAAAGTAATTTACATTTAATTATTATGTTCTTAGTATCTAAGTTTGTGTCTTTTAGTTTTTATAAACAATTTGACACAGTTGTAATGAATCCGCCCTTTGGCACTAAATATAACAGTGGGATTGACATGCAGTTTTTGAAAACTGCATTGCAACTTTCCACACATGCTGTTTATTCGTTACACAAAACGTCAACTAGGTGAGTTCCAAAGTTGATTGCATTTTAACATTTATTTTAAGTTTCAATGTATGCCTTCAAAACGATAATTCATTGTTTTCTGAAGGAAACATGTCATTAAAATAGCAGAACAATGTGGAGCAAATGCAGAAGTTCTGGCAGAACTTAGATATGATCTGCCCTCAACTTACAAATTTCATAAAAGGAAGTCTGTTGATATTGAAGTTGATTTTTATCGATTTTTAATTTCGTAGGTATAATAATAATCAAATCATGTAGTTTTTACATAATAATTCTTACTTTAACTTTATAATTAGCAATCAAATAATAAATTTGGATGAGTGTTATTTTTATATTGAGAAGACTAATAAATCTAAGTTAATTAAGGCATTTTTTAATTAAGAAAAAGAAATTGAATACGTGACCGGAAATAGTGGAAATAAACTTAATATTATTTATTACTTATAATATTAATTTAATCAAAAGATATGTCTTGAGCCAAAGGCATTTCTTTTGAGTAATTAACGGTAATTGTGGATCTTCGCATATATTGTTTCCATGCGTCACTTCCGGACTCTCTTCCCCCTCCTGTGTGTTTCTCACCACCAAACGCGCCCCCAATTTCAGCACCCGAGGTTGATACGTTTACGTTAACGATTCCGCAGTCGGAGCCTTTCGGGCCAATCCACTTTAAAAGCAATAAAATTATGAAAAATACAAACGTTACGTGTGCATATTTTATAGAGTATTTTTGCAGGTGTATTAAATTACCTTGTAAAAGTTTTCGATACTTTGTGTAAATAGTGTTGACGATAATCCTTGGGGAACGTTATTGTTATATCTTATAGCTTCTTCAATGCTATTAACTTCAAGTACATAAACTATAGGCGCGAAACATTCACTTTGAACAAGGGGATGATCGGCTTTCAGATTTGTTACAATCGTAGGTTCAACGAAGTACCCTGGTCTGTTAATGATCTAAAAAAAACACCACTTAAATTGAAAAAACAAAGTTTATATTATAATTTATGTAAATACCTTTCCTCCAAATTCGATTTTTCCCCCCGCCTTAATAATAGCTTCTATTGCACTTTTATAGTTATCCAATGATTTCTGACTGTGTAAGGGCCCGATGAGGGTATTGGATTCGAGAGGGTCTCCGATTCTATTAAAAACTTTTTCATATGCTTTTTTAAGACGCTGTAAAACTTCATTGTACACCTGTGAATTATTTTGTCAGAAATGGATTAAGAACTATGTGTAAGTCTTACAGATTTATGTAGAATCAAACGTCTAGTCGAAGTGCATCTTTGTCCTGCTGTACCCACGCAGGCAAAAACGAGTGCTTGAATGACCATGTTGAGGTCAGCATCTGATGCCACAACGAATGCGTTGTTACCCCCTAATTCTAAGAGGAGTTTACCAAATCTCCTTTGGACTTCGACACCAATCTGTAAACGCAAAGGCAGTATTGAAAAGTAAAATGATTAAATTTGACCTATTCCAACCTGTTCTCCAACTTGAGTACTTCCCGTGAAAGATAACAGTTTAATCCTAGGATCTTGTGTCATGGCTCTAGACACATCAATACCACTACAACATAATGTTGAAATAGCACCTGGAAGATTGTTCCTTGTTAGAACTTCGGAAACAATTTTGGTTGTTGCCACCGAAACTAATGGTGTTGTCTCAGAACCTCTCCATAGCAGTGTGTCCCCACAAACCTAAACATTTTATAATATATTAATGTAGTGATGCAAATAAATTGAATTGAAAATCGTACAAGAGCAATAGCACTATTCCATCCGTAGACTGCTATAGGGAAATTAAAAGCTGTTATAATACCAACAAGCCCAAGGGGATTCCATCGTTCCATTAAATCGTGACCTGGTCTTTCTGATGGAAAAACATTTCCTGATATTGTTCTGGAAAGACCAACAGCGTAATCACATATATCAATGAATTCAATAACTTCTCCCCGACCTTCCGCTAAAATTTTACCTGGAAAATATTTTCAATTAAAGAAAATTAAACTAATTACCATATTTAGTAATTTAAGCACATAAAAACGTAAGCAAAAAGTCCATTTAATGGAAAGACTAACATGAAAAATTTGTAATGTCTCTAATAGGGACACTTATAAATTACCCATTTCCAGTGAAACTAGTTTTCCTAAAGGTTCTAGCTTATCTCTGATTGCATTCCCAATTTGACGAATAATTTCTCCTCTTTTTGGAGCGGGAACTTCGGCCCAATATTGCCATGCATTTTCAGCTGCTCTTACACAAGACTCATAATCCTGAAGAGACCCTCGTTTGACTTCTGCAATAACTTTACCATTGCTCGGGCAAATTGACTTTGCTGTCTATATTAAAAGAGAATAATCAATTGATTAAATTAATTGAAATAAGGGGATAATGGCGCCTTTTGTAAAACTTATTTAAATTTTTNCAACACTAACGAAATTTCTTTCTTTCGTATAAACTGAACTGAAAAAGACGTAATGGTGCCCCTGGTCATTGTCCTCTCAACTTACGTCTTGGTTAACATTTTGTTCATCCTCGCGTCGAAATCTAAGAAAATTCGAGAACATTTATAGAAAATATATAACGCGGAAGAAATTCTAATGAAGAACATTGATATTGTTTTATAGGTTCGGGGATTTAAAGACACTTACGTCATATTACCGAGAAATGATAAAAATTCTGAGTACGATAAAAGAGCTGATCTAATCCGAAAATCATTAATTCAACATGAAACTAACTGAAATTTGAGCGGTTTAAATTTTGAATTTTTGCAATTCAGGAGTAAAAAGAATTAGACAACCCGTAAACAATGGTGTAGAGGGTGCTACATAATATACAATTACTTTTGTAATGAATATTAAACGCAAGCAATGAACATCGTTTTCTTAATTGCATATCATTTTTAAAAATAGGTACGTATTCCTTGTTTTCAATGCAACAAAAATTAGATTAGATACATACATCTCCCGATCCTTTCCACTGGCCGTCATAAACGCCGTAATTGACGGTTTCCAATCCAAGTTCTTTAAGAAAAGAATATTTAGAGTCGTTTACGAGATAACTATTAGCCATCGTTCGCACAAATACCTGTCCAACTGATAATAATTTTCTGTTAACGTGAAGTGTGCTTTTTAATGCAAACGCCATGCTACAAATCGGCATCACATTTGAAGTAAATGTAAAATATATTCATCATTCGCAATTAGTATTTCTGCTGGTTATCTGTTTTTGTTTTTCTCTTTGTAATCATTAGATTATGTTCACCAATTTCTTTCTTAAGATATCAGAGGCGTGCCTATTAAACTATTATTTAGAATATTAAAATGAATTTTATATTAAAT